GAACGAATGTACTGCGTACGAATTTATAATTTTGCTAAATTTTGATTACTTGACTCGTGATCAAATAAATTAGTCTGGCTTTTTTAGATAACAATTGCTAAAAACCAAATTGATTTTACAAATTATTTTAACATAAAATAATTATTAGTAACATTTCTATTAATAAAAAATTTTATTATAAATAGAAAATAGATTACTAAAAATAAAAATCCAATTTAAAAAAAATTTTATTAAAAATAATTAAAATACGTATTAAATTTGAAATGTATTATGTTTTTATAAAAAATTTTAATATAAAAATTAAATATATGCAGTATATTTCTTTTTCTTTTTTTTTTTTTCATATAAATAAACACTATTTTATTTATTCATTTATTTATGTATATATTGCAAAATATATATTTAAGAAAGAAAAAACATTATATATATATATTTACAACAAGTTAAACATTAGTTTTCCAATAAATAATTATTTAAACATTTGTAAAAATAAAGTTATCTTAATAATTTATTTAAAAAAAATCATGTTATTAAAAAACAAAGATGAAAAAAAAAATAATTTAAAATAATTTATTTTTATTATTAAAATTAAAGATAAGAAATTTAATATGTATTTTAAATGATAACAGTTTACATAAGAATTTTTAATCACGTTAAATTTAATTAATAAAATTCAATCATATAATTAACTAAATATTAATGAGTAACATAAAGTTATGAAAACAAATTTAATAGAAAATTTAATTAATCCAATTATTCTTAGGGATTTAAAAAAATTAAATTATAGATGATACTTTAAAAAAAGATATTTAAAGAAATATCATCCGAAAAATATCATTTAAATAAATTCCTATTAAAAAAAATAAGTGTTATTATTAGTTATAACAATATGTTTTTAATGATTACCTATTCTGTGCAAAAAATTATATATTTTTTATAATTTAATTATAATTTTTAGTTACTAAAAAATTTATATCTATACGTATACTCTTTTAATATTAATCCAGGTGCTGTATAAGATCATAGTTTGAAATAGTCTGATATTAACTTTGAGTTGATTGAATATACAGTATATTTTTTATATTTAATTTTTTTCTAATAATAATTACAGTTTTAAATTCTTTAATTTGAAAAAAATTCATTGTACTTGAATTTACTTAAATCAAAAACAGTATACGTACATATATATACAAATGTTATGTATAAAAAAATATAATTTTAATTAAAAAAATTTCTCAAGTGCAAGAACTTTGTCACATATTGAATTTTGTTGCAAATAAAATTGACAGAACTCATATCAAGTTGTTTACAATATTATCTTCTTTAACCACCTTGATCATATCTTTTACAATATCGACATCATCAGTCTTGGCACTTTCAACATCTAGCCAAAATCTTTTTTGACGAGGTGGAACGACACCCGCCTTTATGCAATTGTTCAGGTAGCTTTTCTTGACTTTCCACGTGATCGTCCTCTTACCTAACACGGGTAACAGATCCTTTAACTGTAAAGTTGTGAGACGAGTTCGAGCGAAAAGCGAATGCGTCTCCATGGTGATTTTCGTGTAAGGAGTAATGGCCATTGGGGTCAACGTGGAGATGTTGGGCGGTTTGTGAAGATAGAGCTTCCTCACGTAGGCAGAGAAAAAATAGTGTATTCCAACCGTTGATGCCGTGCTGGCCATCAAAGCTTCCGTCGTTTCAAAAGCGAGCGACACGTGTTAATCGTTGAAAATTGATGAAAAGAAAGAAAGAAAGAAAGAGAAGAAGAACCAAAGGTCAATATCAAAGCAGGAACCTACCTAACGCAAGGGTTGTGCCATTTATGCCAGTTCCTTGAACTGCTTGTCACAATAATTGGTTTGCATAACTAACATTGTCAACATTGTGTTGTGGATTTGGATCGAACACAAAAATTGATTGAAGATATCTTACGTTCGGGATTATTCAGGCTTAGTACGCCAAGAGGAGTAATCGCTATTGCGAACTATCATTTAGTAAAGAGAATCGAATTTTATTCCCAGATTACACTCAATTAAAGAAATTGGATTATCGTTGGCAAAGAGTTAGACCACAATCAGAAGATAATATCATTGAACTTTTACGGACCCCTAGAGCAGATATCGAGAAAAATTTCAAGAGTCTCACAACCCTATAGTTTGGACCTTCGAAAACCAATCGCGCATTCTTCAAGTCTGTCGCGTTTTCGGGGTCTTTTACGGTGACGGCTTTCGTGGAGTGCGGAAAAAAGTTTTGAAGATTAAGTTTTCTTAGATGGATGAGATGATTATCGACCAAATTCGAATTACCGAACCAAATTGAAGATGAACGACGGGTAAACGTTGCGTGGATTTGATTATTGAGAGAACAGCGTGTTTTGGAAAACATAGTATGTCGATGTTGAAAAAAATGAATCACTCGTAGATTTATCGGACCAATAGGAATTTGAGATCGAGAGATCCTAGGATTTAACCAAAAATGGCATGTTTCTAGAATTCTTTCAGATGGTGAGACCAAAACGTCGACAGTAGAAGTCTTTCGACAAGAGGGGTAGAACCATCGCACGTTCAAGCTTAGATATGCCAATTGGTCGACGAACACTCGTGGGACGTTGTCCGACCAGTGTTAATGCGTACGTGCGTACATGATTTCCTGCAACTTATTTTTGTGAATCAAGTCATTACATTCGCTAGCATTCATCCACAAATATTATCCACGAACGGGTTCTGCAAACATGTTTGGTCTCTTTTGAAGGCAATCTCAACTTATCAAATGCACGTGTACTAGTATTCCTAAATGTAGGATTCTCCTCGCGCGTTTTGAATATTGTTTCGATGATTTTGGGTCGTGTAAAAATATTTTTGAGGCATACCAATGGCCAATCTGAAAAACAGAGGGTCGCCGCGGTTGACGTAAAAATAAAATAAATTATAAAAAAAAAAACGAAAACAGGTTTCCGGTGTATTACGTGCGTGATGATACTTGCTAAATTTGAGAGAAACAAAGGAAATTGGTAAAGGAAACGAGCTGTGTGCTGAATGAAGTCCTAAAAAGGTCAGGTGTGTGTACGATGAACATGATGCGTATAAACAGGTTTGATGGCAAACCCACCAGAGCAAAATCATATGCAAAATGGAAGAATTTTAGCCCGGGAAGATTGAGTCTCACCCACGGAGACAAGAATCTCCCGATGAACATTTAGTTATCCAATGTTGTAGGTGAATCTCGTGAAATTTTTGGATCTTTGAAAGTGGTTGTTGATCAGAGATTGTTCAGCGATTCAGGGAGTTGCTTGCGAAACACACATTGCATTGTGATGTTTGTGAATGCATACGAAACGAGTATTACATGGAATGCAAATTGCGATGTCAAGATCGTAGGTAAAAAAAAGAAAAAAAAAAAAAAATTTACCATCGCCTCGTGGATTTACAAAAAGCGTTTGGTATTGATGTTAAAACTATTGTTATGTGCGTAGGTGCGTACGTACGTACGTGCGTGCACGCACCCACATCCATATTATACTGTGATGACAATTGTTCATGACGTGAGCAAGGTGCAGCGGTACCTGATCTTTGAGTCTCTGGGAACCTATTGTGAGAATTAATTGTCTGTCTTTTCCTTCACTCGGAAAATTTCAAAAAGGACATTTTGGCGATTGAAACATTCACATTTAAATTTAGAGGTAAATTTGCTGAGGTACCGATCCAAAAAAAAACGCCGAAGGTTTGTTTGCTTTCTTGAATGATCGGTGGCTTCACCTTTTATTCACGACACACAGTAATAACAGATTGTGGGGAATGAAGACAAAACCGTCGACTAATTAATGACATCAATGATACTCATGCAGAAAATAATAGGCGAAATTTCAAATGTGTTAATTCTAAGGACTATTATGCCGAGAGACAATAGAAATAATAATATTGGTATCAAGTGGTTTTTTTGGAAAAGAGAAGATTTCACATTGGAAACGTCCAATTGTGTCAAAGGTTTGCCGGATCAAGGAAAACCAATTGATCTCATCTTACGTTTAAACTGAGTAATGAATGCATTTCTAAAAAAACCACCACCACCACCAAGAACGTTCCACGGTTAGAGTGGAAAGTTATAATAGCATGCTATTTACGCTATTGATAGAATCATAATGATTTTTAGCCTATTCACAAGAATATAAATTAGATTCTCTTGTGGTCCAATTAAATGCTAGTCTCTTTCGTTTTCGTACATTGGGCGGGGTTGAGTGTGGGTCCACAGTTGTCAATCATAACCTAGGTTTCACGTGATCTTCGCTTAGAGGGATACACAAAATTTTCGTAACGATTACATTAGGGACATGAAGCACAAATTAAGCGTGTGAAGTACATGATAACTGACGTTTATCGGATATACAAATATACATTTACGTATGCCGACAGTTCATGTAGCATACATCAAAATCTGTTCGATGCGGTGTTCATCGTGCAATAATAATAATGGTTTCAGATGCGCATGTGATCGCACACTCCGTAATATGATCGCGTTCTCATTGCGACACGCATTATCGATAGCAAATCGAGTCGATTTCTTCTTTATTTGAGAAAACTTTTGGTCGAGTTCACTATCGTTAAGGAAGAGAATCGTGCACAAATAACAGGGAGTGTATACATTACCAGAAATCTTGGCGCTCTTCAATTTTCATCATCTTGCACCTCTCGACCAATTACCGCTTCCACATTAACAGTATCAATATATCAATAATCACAACGTGTGTATTCAATCCGTGATACGCGATGCCTTTTCGTTAGGTTTGTTTAACGATTCCTCCACGGTTCTAACCAAAGGATGTTATATTCATGTGAACCAGAGAATCTGGAATGACCTTGAACGCCCGAGAGATAATGACATCGCATTTTTTTTTTAAAAAAAAAGTGAGGGGTGAGCTTTACAACCGAGGTTAACTTAAAATGTATAGTAATTTTTACAGATACATGTCATTGGCACGTATGTATACTGTTGGCACAACATGTTACTGGCACATATATTACAAGCACGACATGTTTGCTGGCAGAAAAAAATTTAATGAATGACGGTTATGTAAATGGTTAATATGTTATCCAGTTGTTCATGCAGCAGGATATGATGGTATCGGCGGTGGTTACGTTTTTTGCCTACCCCGGTCGTCCTCGCGGAAGTTTCTTCCAAATTCATGTGTCATTCAATTCGCAAAAAGAGAGAAATCATCGCCAACCTAGTGTACGATGCGAAAAATGATTTCAACAAAGAAAATCATTTTCGTGCGATACTTTTGATGATACACAAATTTATATTATTATTATTCATTGTTTGTTTATTAGGAGAGCATTAAAAATGGAAGGTCTTACAATGTTTTTGTAAACAGCATCCATCCATTCATTCCTTAGCTGTTAGTGTGTCAGCTGCTGTTTATCTTGCATGGCAAGGAATCTATCGACTCCCTTTTTTTGTCGTTTTCGCCATTAATGAAAACTCCAATGTAAAAATGACCTATTGCTCCTGCGGTGATTTTGTCTTCCGAACAAAGACGAACCAGTAAATTTTAAGAATTATACGGTGTCTGTACAACCGTTGGATGAAATCGGAAAGGAACTGTTGACAATGAAAAATTTCGCCGTAAATACCCAGCAATGGAAAATCAATATGCACAAAACTGGTCCGAAGAAAAAAAAAAAAAAATTTTTTTTTTTTTAGCAAATCATCGTGGTTACGGTATAACAGTAGTACGGAGAAAAAACGTTGTATAAACCTAAATGAAAATTCATTCTGTCAATCTACACATACGTAAGTATCTACTTACGTACTTTAATCTTTGCTTGTATGTTTGTAGTGTTGGAAGTCCACGTTTTACTTCCAAGATGATTCCAGAAGATTGCTTTATTCGGTGTATCCGGTGATTTCCTTGTTATCGTAAATGCTTTATGGTTTTCGTGACTATTTATGGCAACGTTCCAGAAACACATTAATCGAAAGTTTTTTGTTTCTGCGACTATCCGAAGGCGAGCGAGGAAGGAAAAAAAGTTTTTTTTTGGAGTTTACCGTCCACCATCTGTAGTGATGAAAGAAGCTTACACGTAATAGTGGCGCAATACGATCCCAGGAATACACCACGCAGTTCATGCAATCACCCCATACCACTTGCATTGCTCGCCTGCCAATTTCGTTATAAGAGTCCGGCTTACGTGGTTCACGAAGTGATCCAACGACTGAGTGTGTTCCAAAAGAGGAAAATTTTTCTTCGCTGTATGTATGTATTCCGGGAATCATACTCGAGTTATATGCGTGCTCGTCTGCAACTCTAGTTTGGCACACGTATGCCGTCCACAACATACAGTATACTCGATTCTACTGCTAAAGTACTTAATACATACAAAAATGTCAAACAATCCTTTATATCCTGCCCACGATAAACTCATCCGAAAGTGAAAACAAAAGGTTTGACAAAATATTTCTATTCTAAGTCCTGCTGTATTCTCCACGCGGAAATAGAAGAGGTATTCGGTTTCCGATGAATGGATACTCTTGGGACCCCAAGGTCAAGAAGGCAGGCGACGAATTTGGATGACCATACAATCCAAAATTATCGCACAACTTCTACGAACTCTGATGTTTGGTGAAACCGAGAACGTGCGAAAGTGGAAGACAATTGTAAAAGTTTCTATTCTCTTGCTTATTCCTTGCCAAAGGTGTTTCATGGTTCTGCGCTCCGTCATATATCTGATCTCGTATTGTGTCACACGCGAATAAGAGGTTGCCATTTGGATTTGGGAATTTTGTATGATTTTATTACAACTCCGCATTAATCACTGGGCGGTCGTGACAAGCAGCTGATGATCACACTTTCTGATCACGCACCGGCAGTAACATCTTGAAAAAAAAAAGATTCCTTTGTTCTTTATCATAGCCGAGCGACCATTGTAGACACACGCATTTGCAAGCGGAGAAACCACGAGCTTACGTGAACCATTTCTTCTGTTTATAGTAGTTACGAGTGGCAATAGATTGTACTGTTCGAGAGATATCTGATATCATGTCTCCCATCAATAATCTTTTTAATCTATGATGGCTTTTCTACTTGAACAGTAAACGTCTTTTATTATTATTATTATTATTTATTTATTTTTATTTATTATTTACTTATTTATTTACTTATTCACTGAATGTCTCTAATATATTTCGAGACATGAAGAAAATGGTCGATCGTATTTCTTTTTTTTTTTTTTTTTTTACCATTATGATGATGTTTCAATACCATTTTTTTTTTTTTTTTGCGACAATGGCAATTGTCTGCCTGCCTGCCTGTACCAAAAAAAACTTTATAAACTTCGTATATTATCTTTATGCCTTATCTTATTTAATCTGTTATTATTGCGGCCATTTTTTTCAGGTGCGTCAGCCGATATAATAATATGCAGTCGCTCTCTCTGGCACGGAGTTCCTATGTAATATCCTCCAAAGAAATTTTTATTATACATTATGGTTAGTCGTACAGTATATACATTATAATAAACAGTTTTAGTCTACTGTCATATTGATCATTTTACTTACACAATGTTTTACGTGACTTACAATATAAAGAGACAGTGGCTGACAAGATTCCTTCCCACTTTTAATCAAAATCCTTTTCTTCCTTTCACCAAGGACTTCGATTTTGCTCCTTGTGCTGCATACGCTTTATTATCGTAAAACTTGCGTCTCAATAATCACCGACATCATCGTTTTCTTTTTATTGCGAAAGGCGAAAATCCTTAAATTTTATACTGTTCATCCAGAAAAGTATTTAAAATCCTCGGAATTCGACTATGGCTTGCTGAACTCTCGATAGCATCGCCTTCCTCACGAAAGATTATTTCCCATTCTCTAGTCCTTTTTTTTCCTCGCATTGGAAAGAAAAAAAAAAAAAGATCCACTTCTTTAAAGTCATTGCGTAACAGCCCATTCCACCCACACACACATCTGCATCCTTTCACATAGATTAAGCATTTTCCATTCTTCAGAAATCATCAATCGTGCGACGACCAAGACAATCTCATCAATTTTTATTCGTTCGTGCATCACCGATACTCATGCGAACGAATTGATTAATTTAAGATCATAAAATTCATCTGGGTTCGATAGTGACCCCTTAATTCCTTGATACACACACACACGCGCGCTTACCCTCTTAACACCTCAAAGAACCGTCATCGCCGCTGTCGCAATTCTTACTATCGACATTGTGTACACTTGCCGCACAAAGACCTTCCCTTTCCTTTCTTTCTTTTTTTTTTTTTTTCATTTTCATTATTATTATTTTTTTTTTGTGCTAAGCCGAGTCCATTTTCAAACTTGTACATAAAAAGTACCAAATTGTAATTATCTTTTGGGGACGAACGTCGAAATCAATTATAACTTGCAAATAACCGGATCCAAGCCACAAGATTTCGCGAACTGTCATGCCTTGCAGTGTAATACGTAACGGAGATGCATTAGTATGTGAGTGGTTGTTATTTACCTATTTGTCAAAGAGAAAAACCCTTTTTCCGAGGGGTTTGGCACCAATTACCAATTAAATAATTTGTTTTCACAAATACCGTGTCGTGTGATCATTGTATTTATACAGATTATGCAGTACTAACTATGCATGTCATCTGACTACCCTTTCACTAGCATTTACCGCGGGATCATGTGATTCCGTTCTCAAGTGTTCACAACGACCTTTGAAAAACGCTTCCCTGCCCAACCTCCCTCATTTCATCAAGGACATCACCGAGAAGTCAAAGGTCACCGACATCATCATGGTGGTCGGCTTGATCTATGTCCACAGGCTGAAAAAGACCTTACCTCCTGAAGCACGTGGAGATTTTGACACTCCCTACAAGATCTTTTTGTCCTCCATTCTGGTGGCAAGCAAGTATCTGAGCGATCACTCGTTGCAGAATAAAACCATAGCGGACATTACCAATGGGCTTTATACCATCAAGGACGTAAATACCATGGAACGAAGTTTTCTGGGATTACTAAAGTACGATCTTTGGGTAGATCGCGACGAAGTGAAAAAGTTCTTGGAGGAACATCGGGATTTAGCTCTCGACGTTGATTGGGACGGTGACATAAAGAGTTCCAATTGAAAATAATCCGAATTTCGAAACGTGCTTCTTTCACATTCGACGTATTCTCTCCATTGTTAAATGGTGTGACACTATCGACCCTCACTCGTTTTCTTACTATTACCTCTTTCACCTTTATATCGATTTCGTTTCTTCCGTCTTCCAAATATTCTCAATAATTTCTCATTGACAATGGTTTCACAATTGTTAACCGTTGTCACATCTTTATTATATGTAAACAACAACACACTAATAATTTTCTGGTGCGCACATTGTAAATTTCACTCTCATAAGATTACCCCCTACCATCTTCAAAATACAGAATTTATTATTTCACACATAGACGTCTTTAAAAACAAATAGAGTTTCTAATAATAGCAATTCATGGAGAACGCGAAGAGATCATTGCTTGCGTCTAACACGCAATTCACGATCACAGAATTCCGTTCTTCAATTAATTCCCTGTTTGTACATACTTGAAATAGATTTCTTTCCTTTTATTTACCCTTACAAAATTATGAATCATTACACGATTAAAACCAAAATATATATAAAAAAAAAAAAAGCAAAGGTACTATACAACATAATCTTGCTCCCACAAAATTTCCTATAAAAATAAAAAAATAAAAAAATAAGCAAAAACTTTATTAATAAAAAAAAAATAATCCAAACTTTTCCTAATAAGTCGTGTCGCAGTTTATTGTAAAGAGATGCTTTCCGTGTACACATTTCTCGATGCTTTCTGTGTGCGCATTTCTCGAAAAATAAAAGAGATGCTCTTCGTGTGCGTAATTCTCCCATTGTGTTTCAGTCCATTATACGTAACGTGGATGAATTGTTACATGGACTTCCAGAATCAATCAGGTTACGTGAATTCCTGAATTAACTGGTGGAAATGCCTAAGAAACCGTCAAACCAGTGCTATCACCAATTCAATGGCGGAATGGTTTTATGAAATGGAGTTCTGGCACGTTATTCCCGAATCTTTGAATCTCATAATGTATACAATAAAAAAACACCTGTCATTCTAGATTTCCGCGTAAACATTTCATTCGACGACTAACTAATATTATTTCGGAAACAAGTTGGGAACTTCATGCAATGCAAGGCGAGGTTCCCGTTAAGCTCAACTTCTCACATGCACATATGGGTCTTGATTCGATTTTATGAGATTAGGTAAGATTATTGAGATTCGTTAGATTCGCCAAAGGCACCTACTGTATGGTTCGATTGTTTGTTTGTTATTTCCTTCCGAGAAACGTAACGTGGCTAAATTTAATTTATACTTATTGGAATGTTCCGCATCTTAATTGATTCACACTATCGTGCCATTGTGTTAAATCAAAAACGTTATCGTTTTTGATTTGTGACATGAGAGTCGGATGACATTGTTGTAACTGGTCTTTCATTTTAAGTCGTCCTCATGGAGAGATGATAAACAAATCATCAAACATTATCTTTTTTAAGTATCTGTATTCTTGGAACTTTCTTTATGAAATAAATGCACTTTGCCTTTTTTGCAACACTTATTCTTTTTTTTTTTTTTTATAGTAAACTCGAGGTATTTGTCACATTTTTAGAAATACGAGCGTCATATCAATCATTATTCCATCTGCACGTCGAGTTCCTTCGCACGAGCTTGAAAAAAGCCCTTGCATACGAGGGCGTGTTCTTTTTTTCCTTGTCATCAACCAACCATTCATCTAGGGCTTCTTCATACCAAGTGACTCATTGCTTGTCACGCGCTCGACCAACCTCTTTGGACCCTCCTTTATCATCGTGACTCCCATCATTCAGGTTTCCTTTTTCACGGGATGTTTTCCACGTTTTCGGATTATCGAAATGTCACCGGGCTTAGCAAGATATTAATGGTATCCTCTGCCATCTCGCACCTTTTAACAAGCTGCGGTGCTTGTAGAAGGATTCAATTGTGAATTATCGTAGAATGCTTCATCACGGATACGTGGATTAGATGTCTAGTTCTGTCTAGCGCGCGGATGTTTTGACTGTTGTTCGTAACCGAAAAAATTTAGTAAGTGATGCAGAAATTAATAATTCATACTGCTTCTTTAACAACTCGCCTAATAATTCACGCGAGTCACAGGGTCGATATTTTAAAATTATAATGATATCACCTGACAAGCGATGATATACAGTACACGGTAGATTCTTTGATTCTTTATTTGATAAAGAAATTATATTTCTTAATGATAAAAAAAATTATTATTATTATTATTATTATTATTGTTGTTAAAATAAATGAATAAATAACATTAATACTGTATATACTGTATAGTATCAAATTTCTTAAAATATGAATTAAAAAAAAACTTACGTTATCCATTTATTCTATACAATTTCAAATTTTGTTTTTTTTGCATGAATTGATTGGTATGATTGTGCTTTTCCCTTATAGTTTTTTTAAAAATTTTTTCTCCTAATTTCTGTTTGATAAAAATTAATAATTCAGTGATCAATGTTGAATTGCGATCCGTTTATTTACTGTATTTCTTTTCTTTTTTTTTTTTATAGTAAACAAGCTTACAACGCCTTGGATTTTATTAAATATTATACTTGTATCATACGTCTGATGGTCTTGTACATGATAATACAAGATAACTTTTCTTTTATTCTATTTTAATTAACTATAAATACTGTATATGTTTTTTTTTTTTTTACATTATATTACAGCACATTGTTTTATTTAAAAATTTATATTGTATATATAATACCTTTAATAAATAACAACTATTGATTATTATTAGTTTGTTAAGTAAGACGGTTCTAAAGATCTTTATTTAAAAAAAATATTTTTAATATTGAGATGCAGAAATATATTATATATACGTATGTTAGTTTGTTATCATAATAAATATACAGTATTTTTATTAAAAAACTTTAAGATAAAAAAAACTTATTATTTTTATTTATTTTAAAGTATCAATAAAAAAAAAAAAAATTTTTTTTTTTAATAATTTAGTTTAGCTTAAATAAATATAAACAAAATTTTTTTATAATATTTGATTTTATAAATATATTGTGATATCCAAAAAATTTTTCTTTAATAAATATATTACAATTTTTAAAAAGTTTAAATATTTTAATAAATGATAATACAAAATTTTATTTATAATCAATGAAATATTTTTGAAATGTGTTTTGATTATTTTGTAATTCTTTAAAAAAAATTATGAAATTATATATTTTTGCAATAAAATTAATTGAACTTATTTGTTTTATACAAAATTTCAAATTTATTTTCTTTAAGTCTTTTAAAAACTTTTTGTTTAAGCTTTTCTTATAAAGTATCTTAATAAAAATTTTTAAAAATATAATTGTTTATAACAGTTCAAAAAAACTTTTTTCTAAATTTTTTTTTTTTGATATTAAGGTGAAACACTTCTTATGATCTTTATTGATAGAGTAAATATATAATATTATATGATCAATATTGAGATATAAGATATATGGCTATACATATAAGTCTATTACCTATTGTAGTAGATATATTTCCAAAAAACCTTGAGCAAACAAAAAAAGAAACTATTTACTAAAAAAAATAAAAAAATAAAAAAACATTTGGAGCAAAATCGCTATTTAGTAAAAAAGAAAAAAGTAAAAAAGAAAAGGTATCAAAAAAGTATTGAAGCTTTTGTTAAATGTGGTTTTTGAATGCAAAAAAATATTTCAGTTAGATAATGGCATCACGCAAGCCACATATAACTTGATGAGTTTGGTCAGGTGATTTTTGTGATATGTTGCTATTATATTGTATAGCTGTATTATAATGTTATGGTAGAGTAACTGGAATATATTCCAGATATTTATTGTTTTGTATAATAGATTATTGTGTATTGTAATTAAGGATTCTAATGGTTCTTTTCGATTCTATATTCAATTTTCAAGTTTATATTAAATTTAATAGGTGGGGTATACCCCACCATTATTTTTAATAGTGTTTTGAATCTCATGTGATTCCCTGTGATTCTATTCGATTTCAATTTTTGGAATCATAATTGTGATTACTGGAACTTGCACAGGGCACTGATTATATGCTTTTCCAATCCAATAAGTTGTTGTATTATTTTGATATAATTTGGTGATATGGAATATCATTGGTGTTTTATGTATTGTAGATCTTTTGGTGAAAGTAAGCTGATTTCGGTTTTTTTGTGTGTGAAGGTGGATGAGAATTGACAACTAGCCAAAAGGTTATGCCAATTAATCTGACATTAGTTATTATCAGCAGAAAACAAAAACTCTGAAAAAATAAAATGCTGCCTCTTGAAAAAAAGATTGTATTTGATTTTGTATATGTTTTTTTGTAATGTGATAAGTAGTAATATATGTAAGTACAGTAAAAAGATTTTCCTTTATTTGAAGATTGCTTATATAGGTTTCACTCAGTAAAGCAAAGGGTTTAATCAAAGAGGTTTTTGCCACACCCAAAGCATATACACCTCTATGGAAAGTTAATTGATCCCTTGCACTCTGCAGAAAGCTAAAATAGACTTTTCTTCCAGAAAGAGGTTCTTGTTTACTGTTTACTGTCTACCATTTATGTCATTATCCAAAAAGAAAATTTTTTATGAATTGAAGAGTTGTGAGAAAGATTTTTTTTTTATTTTTTTCTAAATTTTTATGTATCATCTGAAATCTTAAAAAATAAAAATTTTTTAATAAAATTTATACCATTTTATTCTTAGGTTTTAAAATATATTTAAATAAAATTTTGTAAAATTTTAATGATTTTTTTATTTAATTATAAAATAAAATATAAAATCAAAAAAATTATAAAAAATTATGAATCACCCTGTATGTCTGAATTCAGCAGTGCATATTTTTAATTAATTTATAGATATAATTAAGTGAAATTGAATGCTATATAGTTTTTACATTATACTCTAAATCATCAATATTTTTTGGCTGGTTATATAAGTTATATTACTTTCTATCAATCTTATTTTAAAAATTCTCGATCAGATTAATATCAGAATTTTGTACAGGTTAGAGTAATATGGAAATGTTTGCTAACTTATAAATATCATTGTCGATTTTTGTATAATAGGAAGTAATATTGTTCTCTTGAAGAGTTTTCTTAACAAGCAACTAATCTATACAATAAAGAGATATGATGCTTCTGCTTTTTTTTTTTTAATCCTGCAATCAGGTTGGTGTCATTTATTTATTTAATTATAAAGAACCATTACAAGTTAAGAATTCATGCAAAGTATAAATTTCTCCAACCCAACTCACCTGTCTTTAGCCGAAGCCTCTAGATGCAATTTATGGAGGTGATAATGTTGTTCCCCTAGTGGATAGAATTAAGATTCTGAATTTCCAGCAGGATCAAAACCTGCAGATCACCTCTGCAGTCACAGATATGATGCTTTTGCTATATTTTAGAATATACTTTTTCCATTATAGATTTACAAATTGGAACAAGTGGCCCCAGCTCACTTTACAAAAAGCATTTATAAACATTTGGGTAGGACTGTGCCTTACCATAGCACTTAAACAAGAAGTATAAAATTTTTCTTTTAGCATTCATTATATATAAAAGCTACAACCTTGCAAGAACTGACTAAATATAAACTTATCAGATCCTATGATTTTCATTACTTTGCAATGGACCAGTTTTGTTGCTTCAATACTTAAGCTAATTATTTTACTTGGTTTTTTTTTGAGATTAATGATTTGATACAAGTAACACAAGAATGCAGACCAATTTTTTTGAAGGTATATCAAATTGTGACTGCTATCATATTGATTTTTTTTTTATTTTATCAGTTCTTGATTTTATAGACAGAAAGGTAACAATACTTGGTACTGTCAATAACAAGTTTTTTCAATACAATTTGTATGCAAAAGTTAAATATTGATTCTGGGTCACTATATTTTTGAGGTGTTATAGATTCTGTTTCTTTATACTATTTTATAATAATAAATGTAATAGTCTTGTTACATTGGACACTCTTAATGATTTTTTTATATAAATTACTACTTAAGTTTTTATAAAGAATTGCTCCATGTTGCTCAGTAATTAATTCTTTATTTTTTTAGTTATTATTTTAATAAATAAATCATGTGTTGATAATATAACTGCTTATAAATACAATAATATAGAAGGATGAAAAGAATATATAATTAAATAAATTATACTATATGTAAACAAAAATAAGTAAAAATATAAATAAAAATATAATATTAAAAAAAAAAAAAAACTCTTTTCCATACACAACTTTTTTTAAAAAATTTCCTTTTATAGTAATTTTTCTTCAAAATTAAAGAAACAAATATTTTTTTCGCCTTTTAATACTCAAAAGTCCTTCACATTTTTTCTTTTTTCATTACAAGAGCCTCAAGGAAATTAAAGAAGTATACTAATGCATTGGGATAGAACCTCTGGCCAGAGAAAAGCAAGTTTGAGGACCTTACTTTTTCTTTGGATTGCATGAGGGAAGGCCCATGACAGTTACTTCTTTATAAATCTTCCTTGGGATTCTTTCCATTTTCTTTTCTTTTCAATACACAAATCTTTTTAAGTAACCATACTTCTTGCTTGAAGGACTTCCTTTTATTTCAAAAAACCAGACTTCACATTAAAATTGTTTATATTGTTAACTTGGAGCACCAGCAATATATTCAATGTTTACTTCTCACTATCGCTCATTATATTTTGCTGCACCACCAAAAACCAAAAAATCTCACTCAAAAAATTTTATATCAAAAAACTGCAATCAATTTACTCCTGTCAATTAATCAACATTTCAAACCCAACCAATCAAACACTATCAATTTTTCAAACAAATCTGTATAACCAAAACACTACACTTTGATTGACATAAACAAAACCTTTTATGGTGATAACAACCAAAACAAAATCACACCACCAACAAACAAACCAATCACAATTCACATCACTACAACAACAATACTATCATCATGACTAATCATCTACCAAAAAGATATATCATCAACACTATTGTTCACTTTGAACAGTAGTCTGGCCATTTCTGGAAGTGCAACAGTACTTCAGTTAAATGAAAATACCAGTGTGGTGCGCCTAGTGGCATCTATAGTTTCACAATTAGTGTTTTTGCATTTATTTTTTTTGTTTTTGCTTAGTATTTTCTTTTTTTCAATTTTTAATTTCTTATAGTTTTACATATAACCTAAGTAGGTATTCATAACTGCTCGGTACTATTTAGGATGTATATCAGTTTTAATATTTATTTTTCATGTTACTTAGATAGTTTCTGTAGACAAGCTAGCATTAGACTTATTAGCTTAGCAAGTTATATAAGAGATATTGTTGCTTTTTCCATATATAAATTTCAAACAATTTTACGATAAATAAAGTAATTATGTTTACCTACTTTTAAAAAATAAATAAAAATATAACTGTTTTGATACTTGTAATTATACTCTGTATTTTGAATAATTGTCTGGCCCTTTCTAAAAGTAGTATTCTACTTCAGTTAAATAGATTAACTAGCATAATATATCTAATTTAAAATATTCTTTATATTATAATTAATCTTTTTTATATTTTTCTTTCAATTATTACCAAATATCCAAATATAAACAATCATATTATTACTATTATCAACAATAACTTAAAAAATAGTTATTAAGAGAATATATCATTAACATTATTATATATCTTAAGCTATAACCTGACTATTTTAAAAAGTACTACTATATTTTAAAAAATAAAACCACCAAAAAAATATTAAATATTATTTATATTATAGTCAGTTTTTTTACTATTTTCTTTTTATCTAATATTTTCTTTTTTTATTTATATATTTTTTTAAATTTTATTTCATATAATTCTAAGTAAATAAACCTATAGGTCCATAGCATAGTAATAATACTCCATAGGTTATCAGGGGAAGATCTAGGGTTCAAACTTATCTGATTACAAAAATTTATTACTTTCATGATTGGTTGACCAGCTTTTAATACATGTTGTATCCAAT